CTTCAATGGAATCACCTTATTGCTGTCACACCCCATCCAGCCAGTAGTACGACTTCGCTTTCAGACCCCCATCATAGTGTAGTAATTTACACTACAACGGTAATTGTTCTTCTCTTACGAATATGCAACAAACCTTTCGGGTATGGTAGGACCTCGAGAAGCCAAGCATTCAGGGCAATGTAGCTCGTTGGGTCACTAATATGCAAATTGGACCACCACGTCAGGGTTGTAGCTACCAGGCGGTCGTTATAGGTCCCGAGGATGATGTAAAGCTGACTGAACAAGGATGTAACAGTATTAGAATGTTACCCGTGTATGATCATCAGTACTGCACTGGTTCTGCTGTCCCTGTTGGAAGGTGGATTTGTAAAAGTTGGTTCTGAAAATAATACACACTTGTACCCCGTGACCAGAAACAAGTGACTGATGGAACCAAATTGCAACAGATGATCACTGTTGTCAACCCGTTGGCATGGGATTCCGTAAATACCTCAAAGATGTCTATCTGATTGACTCAGCTAGGGAAGGAGAAGCAGTCGAGGCCATTAAAATTTTATCTCACACAAGCCCGAAACACAATCCTAGACATTGTTCAGTACTGTTTTGGAACCTCATGTGCATGACTTCTTTGTGTGAGATGTTCTGCTCTCCAACCTTGAAATCTTGCTTCTTCAGGTGAAAGTTATCCGATGACTTTTGTTGAGATCCAGTAGCCAGTACTTGAACTTCGTATTCTATTACAATGGAGTGGTATTCACATATGTTCAAGGGTTGAAATGATCGGATATGCCCTATTGATATAGATGAGTAAATTATTGTAGGCTTCAAAGTAATATTGAAGCTATTCACTCATTTGGAGATCCATTTGGTGTCGACAATCGACCTCGCTTTACAGTTAGATAATAATCCTCAGGATATAGTTTTAGTAGCTTATGAAACTACGATATGGAGGCTTAGCAAGAAATATTGAAGCAGTTAAAGCTTCAACCATTGGTATATTTAGGAAATTTTAAGTGGGCTAACTAAGATCCAAGAATTCTCAGATGCAATATCATTTTGTAGGTCACACGATATACCAAATCGCACAGAACAATAAGGAATTAAATTGGTAGTAGAAACAAGTATTTTGAAATGATGCAAAATATTTGTGGCCTAGGATGATGACGGTGGTTTACTGTTCTCTGAGCTTTCATATTCTGTCGTGAACGTCTCATCACCGAGGTTGGTGATATCTTGAGCACTAACTTCGTAGAAAAGTGAAGCATATTTGATTCTTACATAAACGTTTAATCAGCATTTTTATTGATATTGGATGTTGTTCAGCTGTAAGATAGGAAAGAGATATTAACCGTACCTTAACCTCTTTTACCTTAGATTTGTTTCAGTCACACTAGTAGAAATCATTGTTGAAGTGAAATTGTGCTGTTTTTATCTGTCACATTGTGCATCATTATTGATTTGTTTGGTCAGTAAAAACACTATCTAAATGTTCGTGTTACAATAGAATATGTTTCATTTCTTTATGAAGTTAGTGCTCAAGATGTTATCAACCCTGGAGATGAAACGTTCACGACGAAATATAAGAGCTCAGAGAACATTAAACCACCCATCAGATAAGCATATCTACTATTGAGAACATACGATGCTGTAGACTAAGAACCTTTCTAGGTCGTTCAAATTACGTGTAAAAAAGATACCAAATAGTGCCCCAGAGTTCGATTAAATTACTGTAAGTGTATATCAACTTAATTAGGCATGTGTGACTGGTACGAGTCTGCAGATAGGGTGCTACATATTGTTTCAAACTGTCTTTGAGGAAAAACTCAGATAAATCCTAAATCATTAGCAGGTAGCACCCTATCCTCAACTCATGTGAATGATCATAGTCACTTTGATAAATAACTTATCTTGCTAAATTCATAATCAAAACCATAAAATGCTTCAAATGTTACAATACACAAAGTAAGAAAGTAGTCATTGGCATCACATTTTGAAAGGAGAAAAATTACTAAGGCGGTTGAAAACGAACAATTAGAGTTTAAGATTTAAATATTCGAGTTTTCATTTAGTAGCATTTCGACTGCCTGTTTGTGTCTGTTTTCTTTCGACCAGACACTTTAAATATCTGAAATTTACAATAACCTGGAACTCACTTAGCATTCGTAGTAAAAACAAAAGAAAACACAGAGTGGATTCAAACTAAAACGTCGAAATTGTACTAAACGCTAAACAAACAAGGTAGAAAAATAAAATACACCCACTGAATCGTTGTTACTATCATACATATTATCGAAAGTGTTAGAAGCAGACACTACAAAACTGCTTACGGAATAAGGAAACAGTGAAATGATAAGGAAAATATTTAAATTGTATGGTAAACTGAGTCGGAAATTATCTACACATTCATCGAAGCCATTCTTAATGGTAAGTCAGATCGTTGTCGTAAATAGTCTATAGGATAAAAGGGGCAGAACACGAAAGCGTTTGAAAACCAACCCCAACGCACACCAGGAGCTGCAATACGGATAGGACTCCGGAATGGATTTACAGAAATGAACGATTGAGCCCACATATCATAACAGTCAACGTCTTTCACAACAACTTCCGGTTGACTAGGTCCTATACCCAAAGAACTTGTCACTTGAAACCCCAAAATGAGCTGTAGAGACAAGAATCCGTGAAGAAAGCTGGCACACCCATTTCCTTCAAAAAAGAAAATATTCTGTAATACGGTCTAAATCTTGAATAAAAATATTGTTATAGTGAGAAGTTTAGTGTGTCATATGGTTGTATACTGCAGCTGGTGGCTACCAGCTGGGATGAAATGTTCTTCATCCTGCGCTAGATCAATAGAGTTAAATGTCAAGCTTCGGGTTTTTTCATAGAGTTAATTTAAATTACTAAATCTAAATTACTAACCTCGCCTGGTTAACTAGTTCACTAGTTACTAGCCCGTCCCAAGCCCGGGTAAAGAGGGAAGGTTGGGTATAGGGCTAGCAACCCTACCCCCTAAAACAAATCTAACCACTAAACAAACTTCAAAGCACAAACGATGTATAAAAAATAATAACAAAATTATTCCTCACTGGAATCGGAGAGGCGAAATGACGCCAGTTGGTGAAAGCCTTCAGGAAGCCAATTGGCCCACGTGTCTTCTCTCGATGAAAGCGAAAGTAAACGTGGGGACATGGAATGTCCGCACGATGTTTGAACCCAGCAAGGCAGCCCAGATTGCAAATGAGATGAAGAGGTATCACATTGAAGTGCTTGGAATTTGCGAAAGCAGATGGAATGAGAGTGGACTCTCCAAACTGTCAACTGGAGAATCAATAATCTACTCCGATATTGTCAACCAGACGACAACCACGAGCACACTGAGTTATAGAGTGGCTATCATGATGTCCGAAACACCATCGAAGGCTCTCATGCAGTGGGAACCGATCTCCTCCTCCGGCTGGATCATGACAGCAAGGTTCAACTCAAAAGGAAGGAAGGAAGGTCACAATCATATAATGCTATGCACCTACAAGTAATGCAGAGCAAGAGAAAAAGGAGGAATTCTACAGACAACTTCAATCAACACTGGACAAGACCTCAGTTGGCGACATCAAAATTCTAATGGATTGGGTGACATGAATGCCAAACTGGGAGCAGACAACACAGGAGGAGAACTAACCATGGGTCGAGAAGCACTCGGTGGGGTGATGAACGAGAGTGGAGAATTGTTTGCAGAATTCTGTGCATTCAACGATTTGGTGATTGCAGTGAGGCACTGTGTTCAAGCACAAGGATATCCACAAAGCTAGCGACATGGATTTCACCAGACACCAGATAGACACACTAAAAATCAAATCGACTTTATCTCAACCTCAAGAAAATGGAAATGCAGTCAGCCTACTTGACACAAGGTCAAGAAGAGGAGCAGATGTAGGTTCACACCACTCACTATCTAGTGCAAGCAACCTTCCAAATCAAGTTAAAAGCCTTCAAGGAAGCTGGTGATAGACCTCAATTCAAGTACAACACTCGGAAACTGAAGGATGAAACTACAAAGGAAATTTTCACACCAGTCAGCCATCAAGACAAAATGGGAGATATCGAGCAACATCCCTGAAGAAACCTGTGTGGAAGAACACTGGAAGTCTTTGAAAGAGATGTGGAAAGAAACCTGCACAACAGTATTAGGAAGGAAGAAGAAAGAAGACAAGGAATGGATCTCGACGGATACATGGAAGCTTATAGAGGAGAGGAGGATGGTGATGGTGAAGCAGAAGATAAACCAGTGCAAGGATGCACAACGAGAAGAGTACAATGTATAAAACACTGGATGAAGAAGTGAAGAAGAGTGCACAGAAAGACAAAAGACACTTCTACAAAACACTGGCAAGTGAAGCAGAACAGGCTGCAGGTAAGAGAGACAGAGACCTGACAACATTGTATCAAATAACCAGGCTACTTACTACCTGGGAAGAGGTCAACGCAGACGAAACCAATGAAAGATGATGTCGGAAATTTAATTACGAAAGAAGAGAAACAAACGAAACAATGGGCCGACCACTTCAAGAAGCTCTTGAATCGACCACCACCACCACCTGCAACTCGTCCAGAAATACAATACCACCTGCAGCCGCTGAACTACAAGTCAACATAAATCCTCCAACAAGAGTGGAAGTCCTGAACACCATGAAGCTACTGAAATGCGGGAAGGCAGCAGAACCAGAAGGGATCCCGCTAGAAGCACTGAGAGCAGACGCAGAGACAACAGCAGACATGCTCACACCACTATTGCAGAAGGTGTGGAAGGAAGAGAAGTTATCTGGCCATTGATTGGAAGAAGGGTTACCTTGTCAAACTGCCGAAGAAGGGAGACCTCAGTGTTTGCAAGAACTGGAGCGGAATCACTCTCCTGTACACCCAGAGCAAGCAAAATATTAAGCCGCATCATCCTAGAGAGGCTAAAGGATGCGCTAGATTCAAAACTACGACCCGAACAGGCAGGCTTCAGGAAGTATAAATCATGTGCAGACCAAATTGCAACGCTACACTACGCACCATCATATAACAGAGTATAGAATGGCAGTCAACTCTACACCTCAACTTTATTGACTTTGAGAAGGCCTTTGACAGCGTCAACCGAGAAGTAATTTGGAAACTGCTTCAATACTACGGAATACCGCAAACCTTTATCAGCCTCATTCAACAGCTGGCTATATGAAGATGCCACATGCCAAGTAATTCACAATGGGAAGCTCAGTGATGCCTTTGAAGTGAAGACAGGAGTGAAACAAGGTTGCCTACTATCTCCCATGATATTCCTGATTGTGGTCGACTGGACTGGATCATGCAGCAAACAGTGGGGAGCTGTGAGAAGAGGGGGATACGCTGGCTGGACTGCAGAAAAGAACCTAGAAGATCTGGATTTCGCCAGTGATGACTTGTGCCTGATGTCACACAAACTTGAAGATCTACAGACGAAAGCTAACAAGTTGTCAGATGAGGCAGCGAAAACGGGACTTCAAGTGAATATAGAGAAGACAGAAGTGATGAAGATACCGCACCAACAACTCCAACGACAACAACAACAAACTCCAATCACCATCAACGGGAGAAACTCAAAGGAAGCAACCTCCTTCACCTATCTAGACAGCACTGTTTCAACTACAGGCGACACAGGCACAGACGAGGATGTCAAAGTCAGCCAGGATCGGGAAAGCAAGACAGGCGTTCATTAGCCTGAAACCAGTGTGGAGATCTTCTGCACTCAGCATGATGCGTGAACAAGATCCGGATTTTCAACACCAACTTCAGTCAAGTCAGTGCTCCTGTATGGCTGAGAGACTCGGCGCGTTACGAAAGGGATTTCCAACAAACTACAGACATTCGTCAAGAACTTTCTACGCTGTCTCGATACTGAAGATCAGATGGCCAGAAAGAATAAGCAACAAGGAGCTCTGGGAACGAACCAACCAAGAACCTATCACCCAACAAATATGTAGAAGGAAGTGGAGATGGATTGGGCATGCACTGAGAAGGCCGACTGGAGACATCACGCGCCAGGTCAGGTTGTCGAGTGGAACCCAGATGGGAAGCGACGAGTTGGGTGTCCGAGGTGAGGGTGACATGGAGGAGATCGTGCGAGGAGGAAATGAGAGCTTGCGGGCTGTCGTGGAGCCAGGTTGAAAAGATTTCAGAGAACGGAGTGGAATGGGGACGTGCTACAGAATCCCTATGTTCCATTAGGAACCCAAGGGACTAATAATAAAATAAATAATAATAAAAAACGATTATTTTGCTGCCTAGAACATACAGGTCTGTACTACTGAATATATTCTAAAAAGTAGTAACTGTGCAGATTCGTGCACTAGATAATGTATGAGGGTGGGTTAAACATCAGTAAGTAAAACAGGTGGCTTACTGACTGGAAGTTAATTGACCACAGCAATAAATCAAAGTTCCATATGGATGTCTAAGGTTAGAAGTGCATGTAGGCGACAACTTTATTGAGTAAAGTTATGATCCAGTGAAATAAGAAATAAACAAATTCATAATGTCATCAAAAATTCACATAATTATGAATTTCTGTTATTCAGTATCCCGGCCGTTTCGTAGACTGGGCAATGATTCACGTCTGATAGCCAAGACCTCGGTAGGCAAGGGTAGTCTGAACCATTGGAAAACCTGAATAGATAGAGGGTGTCAAAGCACAAAAGCGCGGTTACATAACCGGAAAGCCCAGTAAACACCGAAAGAAAGAAGGAAAATATTGATTTCATGAACTAGCAAAACTGTGCAACGCAGCGAGGCGAATAATTTCTACTAGAGATGATGTACACGATTTTCATGCTCACACTTCATTTAGTGGAAAATGAAAACGACATATATATATATTTTTTGATATATATATATATATATATATATATATATATATATATATATATATATATATATATATATATATATATATATATATATATATATATATATATATATATATATAGCAAAGGTGCCTTCAAGTTAACTCACAGCAATAGACGACAATGTAAGTGGCCAAGTGGAATACGCAGCTAAACCGGCATTAAAACCTGAAAATGAAACACTAGCAACGTGAATACCTGGGTGATTATTTGCATAACAAAAAACAAGTGAAATGCAGTATCAAAAATGAGACATCTAGAATTCGATAATCTAATTTCAAGTCCATAAAACAGGATGTAGATACGTGTTATCTCAAAGTGCTCAACAAGTTACATTATTAGGAATGATGAAGCTTTGGATGTATTCACATCAACGACGGACTGGGTTGTTTGGAAAATATTGGGCAGCGAGTTACTGTGATTCGTTGCATAAGGTGTATTTTACTTGCGTAGTATATTTGAAAAAACAAACAAATAAAAAGGAACAAATATTTTGTATTATTCTTCAATATTACGACCTTGCTACGAAGATCTTTGCAAGCGTATGGATGTGATTTTAAGCTTTCAGGTCAATCTTCAAGTTCGTTACAGTAGGTTACTTTTTTATTGACACAGAACAAAGATCAATATAAGGCATACGGCGAAATTACTTGAATATTTAAACAGTGTTATGTTATTTACTGTCTCGTTTGTTGAAACAGTCAAGTACATGTGCAGTCAACTAACAGAACGTAAGACAGACGCAGGAATTCTACCTGAAAAAGTTAAGAAATTACTACCAAAGTGCACGACGAACTTTCCATTTATGTTCAGTGATGGATTCGAAAGACAACTAGATGGGTTCCCGTGAGTCCACTCTTGTCCCTAGGCTAGTTGACATTTTTTGGTCAGAAATGAAAACGATCCACCTAATAAACTAGACTATTATTGACAGTTTGTAGATGATACGTTCACTTTTTGTGACCATGACCTCTAAAAAGACAATCTTCTGAATATTTTCAATAATGTCCACTCTGTGAAGTTCACCTGTAAGAAGGAACAGGAGTTATAGTGTACCATAACCTAAATATCTACCTCGCCAACGAGGTGAATGAGTCATATTCAGAGAAAAGAACATAAGAATGAGTCAATATATTCATTTTCACAGCTTCACACACCAATTTAGTACAAAAGAAACCTAGTCAAATGTCTAAGTTACAGAATACAAAATATAAGTTTAGGTGAAGGAAGAAGTGGATCTCAGGGGGAAGCTACTGAAAACAATTGTTTTGAATAATCTAGGGGGCTAATAAAAGTAATTTTTAATATAATCTCAGCATGTTAATGTAATCAAAACAAGATTTTTATGAACATTACGCTGTGCATGCTACAGCTTTTTCTGCAGAATGTAGATTCTGGAACTACACCAATAATTAAATCAGGCTCGGGACTCAAATTATTGCAGAATTATTGCAACAACTATGGACTGGATATTTATGATCTATAGGGATCTTCAAAGTACCAGAGATCAATATTACAGAACATTATGAAGATAGAACAGTGATATGTAAAAGTGGAAACGAAAAAAGTTCAGAAGCGAAATAAAAATGGGTTAAAATGAAAAAAAGTCCAAGGTATTCATTCGAAAGAGCATTCACTACTTTCCTTTTATTTTTCAACAATAGAAGAAACAATAGAGGTGCAGCACGGTAATCACCGGTTTCGTACTGAGTCAAGTCTGCTATCATTTTAAACCACGGAGTCATGTGATCGCTTGAATCTCGTCCAGAGAGTTGTCAGTAATCAACAGAAACTGATACAACGTGACTATCCTTCGTCCTATGACCCCAAGGTATAAGCTGACCATTTTTCTGCTTCTTTTAACCAGTCATAGAGCAGGCGAATAGTAAACAGTGTGGAGGCTGCTGGAACGACAGTCGTAATGCATGTCAACGCCAGTGAAGCATGAAATGAGTAACTTGCATGTTGGAGCATTGTCAAACATCATCTGCTTATTCAGGGTCGAGTGAAAATCTATATCACTTCAAAGTTGTCTGAAGAATGTCATCGGTAACAACTTTGAAGAGGAGCAGCGAAATTGAACAGCACTATCCGACACAACTGTTAGTCTAAAACAATGAAGAAAGGTGAATGTATGTCAACAATCTGCCTGTGCTTTGTATAGACCCTTCAAGATGTAAAAGTATTTCTCAAGGTCACCCCTCTCTAACAGTCCAAATCAACAAATGGCTGTTGACCTGCAATACATCTTACACTGTCCAAGTATCTGTCGGAGAGAACACGCAGCCAACGTATCCAAGATCTAATCCCCAAGAAACAGCTCTTCGCACGCTTTGAAAAGCTCCCGAAGAATGGCGGTAGTCAATATTTTAGAGACAACAGGTAGCAGACTGATACCCAAATGATGGTTGTATACGATAGGTAGATCCATCAGGGTGGATATAACAAGGACCTCACTTCAGAGTAACAGAACACTTCCAGTGTTCCAGTGTACAAACAACATAGTCAGTTCTCTCATGAAAGTCTTATTTATTTGAAAGCCAAAAGGTAAGTTGTCTTGGTCAGAGGTGGCTAGTAGACCACTACTTTGTAAGTTGAGTCAGCGTTAATTGTTCATGAAGTCCAAAATACTAGTCAAAATCGCTTGAACATTAAGCTACTTATATTGGTTCTCAAAGAGCCTCATTTGGCATTCCACTTATCTACGAAGGTTGCTGGACTATGCAGAAGTTTATAAATGGCATACTTTTTTCGAATTTGTTATATAATGACAACTGTCGTAGAGATTCTTTGTCAACATAAAATGATACGCTTGACCATGAAGCCTAATGAGGATTTCTGGTTCCAAAATAATGATTATTTTATACAAGGCTTACTGAAAACGTCAACATCTAGCGACTTGCAGACGCACTAAGATGACTGATACACGTATCTTGAGCTTCGTTGTCAACCATAAACTAACGTTATTAGTGAAGACACACTTCATAAGAGAAATTTTTTGAGTTAATGATCATAACTTACCAATAATTAAGTCAGGAGTTTCACCTGTCATCTTTCGAGCATGTAGAAATTCATGATACAAACCACTCCAAACACTTATAGACAATCGTGAAGAAAGATGATATACCGTTTTGTCTACTGCAGCATCGAAATGTCGACCAATAAAGTAGATGTATATTCGTAGTTGTGATTTGAACAAGTGGTCGAGTTCCTGTTTAAAAATTAAATTCACCAAAGAATAATTATATCCGCATAACATTAATCCGCTGAACAAGACTACTTTCGGTAGTCTGTTTATCGCCCAATCACTTTCTTTACATGATTGATCCTGATACAGACTGTGAAGTGACCAAAATAGAACTTGAATAAGCTAGCTCATTGGTAAATAGGTGCGATAAAGGTGCTCACGAAGGTCACAGAAGATTCTAGGCTGTTGGACTAAAAGTCAGTCAATAGGTAGGTCTCATAATTTAGTTGACTCAGCAATATAATAAAGTATGAGCCTGTGGTAATCCTTTCTGTTTTATAAATTAGGGTTTTCTCCAACGACTAATGATCATCCCTACACGCTGACCAAAGGCATAGAGCTGTAGTCATTCGAATTAAATTTTCATTCCCATAGGAAAAAACAAACACCAACAAAAGATACGGCGAGTAAAGAAACCAGTTTCAAATGAAGTGCTAACAGTGATTTGGAAATCAAGTAGAACTAGAAGCAGTCGTCCACATTTATCAGGAAAACTCGGACAAGAGAAAAAGACAAAAAAACTATCAACAAGCTACTTGATAATGCTGACTAAACATCCGAGTTGACACACCTCATATCAGCACAACGAAACTACTACTAAGAAAGAAAAGGTAATAGACCTAACAGCTATCAGTGATAGAAAGTTGAGATAAAGTAACACTGAGCATTACGAAAACGCTGAGTTCAGTCTGACGATGAATATAATGTGTGCGTACTTCTGCAATACCGAGATCGATTCTTAGCCATACTATCTAAAGTGTCCAATCACTGGTTTCGTTTGTCACGCTAACCCTAACAAAGAAGATTACACTGTCCTACATGTCAAAGAAAAAATGCGCCGATGCCATGTTTCATCCTGTACACTCCTAACCTCTTCCAGTTTAAATCTAATTTAGTTAATATTGTGCGATGGCGCATACAGTGAATTGGCGTGTGAAACACACTTCCCAGCCACTTCAGTCAATCCAAGTTCACAACTTCATCAACTGACTTTCCTCTCCTCCCTAAAACTTAACACTTGGCTTCTGCATAACTGACATAGTGACAACATGACACGGCCTACTCTAGAAAGGAACGAACAGCAGAAGCCTTTATATATTCTCTACCTTTATTGACCACATTTCGCAGTCATAGACTAGGAATGGGTGAATTGGAGTGCAGTAAAGTCGAAAGATGTAGCTACCCGGCACTTCTTTCAGTGAGATGCTGCCCGAACCATACCTCTTTATCGACGGAGTTAGAGGCTGTCTTGAGCTCAAGAAATACAGCTAGTGTTAAGGAGGGCAATAAGTGTGCAATTGCTCCAAAACCTGAGGTCATATACAGTTGCGATACTCCAGCCTAAATGTAAGATATAGCCTGTTTAAAAGCCTGGTAGCATAGAATGTTTTCTGGAAGTCCGACTAGGAAAACATATCACATGTACCGGTAAGTCATGAGGTACAAGCATGTATTATTTTCAGAACCAACTTTTACAAATCCACCTTCCAACAGGGACAGCAGAACCAGTGCAGTACTGATGATCATACACGGGTAACATTCTAATACTGTTACATCCTTGTTCAGTCAGCTTTACATCATCCTCGGGACCTATAACGACCGCCTGGTAGCTACAACCCTGACGTGGTGGTCCAATTTGCATATTAGTGACCCAACGAGCTACATTGCCCTGAATGCTTGGCTTCTCGAGGTCCTACCATACCCGAAAGGTTTGTTGCATATTCGTAAGAGAAGAACAATTACCGTTGTAGTGTAAATTACTACACTATGATGGGGGTCTGAAAGCGAAGTCGTACTACTGGCTGGATGGGTGTGACAGCAATAAGGTGATTCCATTGAAGGACCAGGAGTGCCACGATGATGCTGCATTCCCTTTAAGAAGGGGGGTGGCCTACAAATCGTCAGGTCCGAAAATGAAACACTCCTCCCTACCCGACGGTCTTTCGGTGTCAGGGGTATGAGTTTTCTGTCCCTAACATTAGAACAACTGGGAATTATCAACCGCTCGGATGCTTCCAGTAGTACAAAAGACCCAATGGAAACTACCTATTCTACTCAACTGTCTCCTCTATTGACTTTACCTCCTGATACTAATATTAGGCCTCTTACGTTTTACCCAACCTCTCGCTTTACAAACATTGTCAACGACCAAAGCCATCGAAGCCTAATTCATAGTCTCCTAAAACCCCTCAACGATTTCGTGTAAGAGCTTTAAGCATCGGAAGCCTATGTCAGATAGAACAGCAAGCATCGCTCGCCAGAACTGTGGAATTTCAAGCCATGGACGCATGCTGTGTCTCTGAGATACGTATACAGGAGAGGATTGTGATTATTAAATTGACTTCACCTGACTAATGTGGTGAACCTTCGAAGTTCGCTTTATTAGAATCCAGAAACCCAAGAGCTCGCAGATGTAGGCCTAGCATTAAGTTGTAGAGCAGAAGGTGCGCTTCTCGACTGGATACCAGTCAAAAGCCGTTTACATTCTATTCGGCTGAATGGATCTGCAAGGTCTATCACCAGCTTCCTTGAAGGCTTTTAACTTGATTTGGGAGGTTGCTTGCACTAGATAGTGAGTGGTGTGAACCTACATCTGCTCCTCTTCTTGACCTTGTGTCAAGTAGGCTGACTGCGTCTCCATTTTCTTGAGGTTGAGATAAAGTCGATTTGATTTTTAGTGTGTCTATTCGGTGTCTGGTGAAATCCATGTCGCTAGCTTTGTGGATATCCTTGTGCTTGAACACAGTGCCTCACTGCAATCACCAAATCGTTGAATGCACAGAATTCTGCAAACAATTCTCCACTCTCGTTCATCACCCCACCGAGTGCTTCTCGACCCATGGTTAGTTCTCCTCCTGTGTTGTCTGCTCCCAGTTTGGCATTCATGTCACCCAATCCATTAGAATTTTGATGTCGCCAACTGAGGTCTTGTCCAGTGTTGATTGAAGTTGTCTGTAGAATTCCTCCTTTTTCTCTTGCTCTGCATTACTTGTAGGTGCATAGCATTATATGATTGTGACCTTCCTTCCTTCCTTTTGAGTTGAACCTTGCTGTCATGATCCAGCCGGAGGAGGAGATCGGTTCCCACTGCATGAGAGCCTTCGATGGTGTTTCGGACATCATGATAGCCACTCTATAACTCAGTGTGCTCGTGGTTGTCGTCTGGTTGACAATATCGGAGTAGATTATTGATTCTCCAGTTGACAGTTTGGAGAGTCCACTCCCATTCCATCTGCTTTCGCAAATCACAAGCACTTCAATGTGATACCTCTTCATCTCATTTGCAATCTGGGCTGCCTTGCTGGGTTTAAACATCGTGCGGACATTCCATGTCCCCACGTTTACTTTCGCTTTCATCGAGAGAAGACACGTGGGCCAATTGGCTTCCTGAAGGCTTTCACCAACTGGCGTCATTTCGCCTCTCCGATTCCAGTGAGGAATAATTTTGTTATTATTTTTTATACATCGTTTGTGCTTTGAAGTTTGTTTAGTGGTTAGATTTGTTTTACGGGGTAGGGTTGCTAGCCCTATACCCAACCTTCCCTCTTTACCCGGGCTTGGGACGGGCTAGTAACTAGTGAACTAGTTAACCAGGCGAGGTTAGTAATTTAGATTTAGTAATTTAAATTAACTCTATGAAAAAACCCGAAGCTTGACATTTAACTCTATTGATCTAGCGCAGGATGAAGAACATTTCATCCCAGCTGGTAGCCACCAGCTGCAGTATACAACCATATGACACACTAAACTTCTCACTATAACAATATTTTTATTCAAGATTTAGACCGTATTACAGAATATTTTCTTTTTTGAAGGAAATGGGTGTGCCAGCTTTCTTCACGGATTCTTGTCTCTACAGCTCATTTTGGGGTTTCAAGTGACAAGTTCTTTGGGTATAGGACCTAGTCAACCGGAAGTTGTTGTGAAAGACGTTGACTGTTATGATATGTGGGCTCAATCGTTCATTTCTGTAAATCCATTCCGGAGTCCTATCCGTATTGCAGCTCCTGGTGTGCGTTGGGGTTGGTTTTCAAACGCTTTCGTGTTCTGCCCCTTTTATCCTATAGACTATTTACGACAACGATCTGACTTACCATTAAGAATGGCTTCGATGAATGTGTAGATAATTTCCGACTCAGTTTACCATACAATTTAAATATTTTCCTTATCATTTCACTGTTTCCTTATTCCGTAAGCAGTTTTGTAGTGTCTGCTTCTAACACTTTCGATAATATGTATGATAGTAACAACGATTCAGTAGGTGTATTTTATTTTTCTACCTTGTTTGTTTAGCGTTTAGTACAATTTCGACGTTTTAGTTTGAATCCACTCTGTGTTTTCTTTTGTTTTTACTACGAATGCTAAGTGAGTTCCAGGTTATTGTAAATTTCAGATATTTAAAGTGTCTGGTCGAAAGAAAACAGACACAAACAGGCAGTCGAAATGCTACTAAATGAAAACTCGAATATTTAAATCTTAAACTCTAATTGTTCGTTTTCAACCGCCTTAGTAATTTTTCTCCTTTCAAAATGTGATGCCAATGACTACTTTCTTACTTTGTGTATTGTAACATTTGAAGCATTTTATGGTTTTGATTATGAATTTAGCAAGATAAGTTATTTATCAAAGTGACTATGATCATTCACATGAGTTGAGGATAGGGTGCTACCTGCTAATGATTTAGGATTTATCTGAGTTTTTCCTCAAAGACAGTTTGAAACAATATGTAGCACCCTATCTGCAGACTCGTACCAGTCACACATGCCTAATTAAGTTGATATACACTTACAGTAATTTAATCGAACTCTGGGGCACTATTTGGTATCTTTTTTACACGTAATTTGAACGACCTAGAAAGGTTCTTAGTCTACAGCATCGTATGTTCTCAATAGTAGATATGCTTATCTGATGGGTGGTTTAATGTTCTCTGAGCTCTTATATTTCGTCGTGAACGTTTCATCTCC